TAAATAGGCACAGCTAATTGAGTGCTCTTCAACCAACCACAATATAAACGTAGTTGAACAAATAGAGAAAAGCTATGGCTCAATTATATAAAAACATAACAAGAATTTATCCTACAAAAGGTTCTATCAAAACTCTAGATAACAAATTAGCTATTCATAATAGTATGTAAAACTACAATACTAAAAGTCATAACCAACAATGAAAAATAGGAAGAGGAAGGAAAAACTCGTAGAAGAATTCTCCGCCTTGCTCCCAATGTGTTCTTGCCTCCTTAGGTCGAATCTATGTCCAAAATATGTCCCCCTTAAGCGTGGTGTGTGTTCCTCCACGTGAATTCTCCTCCAAAATATGTTCGATCCCTTCAAAGTGGCGTCCTCCCGTGTATATATACCAAGTAGGGTTAGGCCCAAACAATTATACCTTCTCCAATGTGAAAAAGGACACTTTTCCCGGGTTAGACGCGCGACTTCGCGCGGTCTTCGCTTACCTTTCTGCCTCAATCTTTTTAGCTCGCAAACTATGCGCGTCTGCTCGTTTTTCACCCGGTTACGTTCCGAATTTGGAAAAATGTAAAATATGAAAGTTGTAGCCCTTTGAATTAGCTTTTCAACCATATATTGTGGAGCCCAAATGGAGTTCTGAGCAAAAAGTTATGTGCATTTTACTAGACAGTACGCAATATGCCTACTCGAGTCTTCGTTTTGTTGTTTTATCATCCGTTGATCCCCGAATACGATCCCGGCTTAATTCCTTGAGCTTTTACTCAGACTTCAAAGCTCCAAATCACTTGAATTCATCCCATAACATCTATATAGCTCGGAATCACTCCTACAAGGCATAAGACACACAATTAGTACAAAACACTAGCGATTAAAGCGCAAACTCAATTAAAGTGCAATAAATTCGAGTGTAATAAGCGACTAATATATGAAATTATAGCCTATCATCAGTGGCCTTCGTGTTCGCGACCTAGGCATCGTGTTCCCGTAGAAGGGAAGGCCGAATGAGTTGCCAAGCTTTTGGCCTTCGCGTTTGCGAGTGGTCAACCGCGTCGCATAGACCAGTGGCGTTGAAGCATCGTGTTCCCGAGTGCCAGACCGCGTTTGCGAAGGATATCTTGGGGGCCAGTTTTAGCTTGTGCTTCGCGATCATGAAGTAGGTCTCGCGATTGCGTAAGGGACCCCTGGGCAGACTTAAATATACCATTCGAGGGTTTGAGTTATTTATCACATTTTGAGTTTGGGAACTCGGATTTGGGAAATTTTTGAGAAAATTTTCATGATTTGGATTGGGGGTAAGTGATCTTGACTCGGATTTGATTATTATTTATGATTTCATCCTTGATTTTAGCATTGATTGATGAATTTAAGTGAGAAAAATTTGAGATTTTGGCAACACTTTTTAAAATAAAAAATAGGGATTTGAACCCCTATTCAGAGTTGGATTTGGATGAAACTCGTATGATTGGACTCGTATTCAAATAATTGTTTGGAATCTGTGACTTTTGTCGGGTTCCGGAAGGAGAGCCCAGGTTGACTTTTTGAATTTTGATAAAAATCAAAGCTTTGTTAATTAGAATCGATTTCTATAGCCGTGTTTGATATTATTAAGTTATTTTTTGCTAGATTTGACCCGTTCGGATGTTGATTCGAGTGGCAAAGGCTTTCTAGAGTATTGATTTGGCTTCTTTGAGGTAAGTATCTTATCTAACTTGTGTGGGGAATACCTCTTAGGATTTGCCTATTTGTGTTATGTAAAAAGCGGCGTGTACACGAGGTGACGAGCGTGTACACGGGTGCTATTTGTGAATTATGACTGGATTAGATTTAGGCTATTAATATGCCTTAAATTGGGGTTTTTTCTATATGAAATATGCTTAATCATTTTATGACAAAATGATCATGATTGCTACGTACATTTGGCTTAGTCATAGTCATGCTTTATTATTGAATACTCCTCCGCACTTTTATGTCATTGTCATGTCCTTGTGCATTTTGTTGTTAAGCTATCGCTTATATCTTGATGAAACTTTGGGTATTGTTGTGTTTTGTAATATTGTGGCATATATGGACATGTTGTACATATTGATTAATGTTGTGTGGAGTATAAGGGTGGTGAGATGCGCATGCGGCGACATAAAGGAGGCATTTCATTGTGACGCGCACGCAGCGAGATAAGGGTGGCTTATGCGCATAAAGCAACATAAGGGAGACATTTCATTGTGATACGCATGCAGAAAAATAAGGGTGGAATTGTTGATGATGTTATGTGATGATTCGGGGGTGTCTTTCTTGATTTTGTTTATGTGTGAAATGGGGTTGATATTTCGATTTCTTACTTTTTTCTTAAACGCTTCCGTCTTGTATTTTAATGAGTTGTTAGTTGAATTGATATGCTATTACATGCCCCACTTTTTTGACGACTTGTTGACTAAGAAGAGTTATCTACGTTGAGTTGCTCTCACATGCTCTACGAGATGGTTGATATTGTTCTTTCCTTATATATATATATATATATATATATATATATATATATATATATATATATATATATATATATATATATATATATATATATATATTCTGTTGCCAGTTATTATTATATTGCACACGTTTTTGACTAGTGAGTATCACATGATTTGAACCTCGTCACTACTTTACCGAGGTTAGTCTCGATACTTACTGGGTACCGACTATGGTGTATCCATACTATACTTTTACACATTTTTTGTGCAGATCCAGGTACTTCTGACCTAGCTGATCGATATAGAGACGTGCTTGAGCTTATTGGAGACTTCAAGGTATCCATGTTGTTCCGTTCGCAGGCCTCAGAGTCACCCTCTTTACTTTATTTTTACTGTTTATGTATTAAAACACTATTGTACTCTTCGAGACTTGATATGTATTCCATGTAGGGCTTATAACTCATTACCGGTTTTGGGAAGTTGATTATTGTATCCACGTTTGACTGTATTGTCGCATTTCACAGTTTTTGTTAAATTTGAAATTGTTATATTTTGATTGATATCGTTAGTGATAGGCTTACCTAGTCTTAAAGATTAGGTGCCTTCACAACCTCTATAGTGGGATTTGGATCGTGACAGATTGGTACGAAGGAAATAATTTAACCATAATTGGGGCAACTTCAATTGTTATTGCTAGTTGATTGATTAAAAAAAGGAATTAATTTCTTATAATTCAAGAATTGGACTAATAATTAAAAACGAATTTACACTTTCCTTTTACATAAGTTACATTTTATGCACACTAATAATGTAATGATTATTCAGTTATATCAAGACTAGTCAATTTATTCGCGCTTCGCACGGTCCTATAAAAGCCAAGAAATAACTGAGATACACCTATATTTTGATCTATATACGCAAATATATACCTCCAATTAGATCCAAAAACGCTCCATATTATTAATTCACATTTTTTAAAAATAATTATTGTTCTCTAGTAAATGATCATCCACTTCACTAATTTCTATAACAATTGAAAAGTTCATGTAACCAAAAGAACATTAAATAATTGAGTAACTACTTCTTCTTCTGTTACTCCTTTCTTAATTTGTGTACTCTAAAAATGATCTTCTTTTCTAAACATTGACAGACTAAAAACTATAAAAGCATTAAAAAGAAAATCGATAATTTTATCTTGTCAAAAAGTGTATTTATGCTCAAATTGCTGCTATCCAAAAGAGGCTTTCCCATTCTTAATTTCTTTTATCAACTTTGTTAAAGCTCAAGGGCTTAAATAGTTTGATAGCATATTTGTAAATATTATTTGTCATCTAGCTAGTTTTAGAGAGATATTTTGAAAATTGAGATTCTAACTTAGAAAAAATTGGAATATTAGTTTTTTTTTCTTTGTCTCCTTTTAATTGGGAGGAAAATTTTTGCTTAAATGGGACACACATTATCATGAATAACATATATATAATCAGTGAAATGTTGTAGTTACTTTAGCATTCCAAATTAAATGCTAAGAACACTAACTTTTATTAAAAATACATATGAAAAATTAAAACAGAAAAAAATCTTGTGAAAAAATAAAAGAAGAAACAAAAAAAAAAAAAGTCGGCTTCTTGTCGTCGGAGTAATTTGCTATTCCCTTACCTTTCTTTTCCGCTTTTTCTTTTTCAATTCAACTCCTACCTTAATTCTTCTTCCTTCTTCCCTCACCGGCCTCTCACCTTCTCCCCTTCAGTAACAATGGAAGAACATCTCATCTTCAGTACAATAATATGATTCTTTCTCCACATAATTGTTGTTGCTTTTGGACACTCTCCCATATGAAGAATTACACATTTCCGTAAAGTCTTTTATGTTGTAGAGAAAAATATACCACTTAGACCGTTCTCATTACAGACAACACCTTCAAAAGTATATCATGAGATAATCTCTGTTTGTCTTATGTTAAAAAAAATTCATTTGAGAAGAAGCGCAGACTAAATTATGGAGATGACCATTTTTATTGGTTACAAATGCTACATGCCTTTTGTTATATATGCTAAAATAAACCGTTTTGGAAAATGAAAAATCTCTCTTTTCATCTTCCTTTTACTTTAATGTATTTCATCCTCACTTTTCAAAAATCTAAAAGTGTCTAAATGCTACCTAATTAATGAGAAGGTACTTTAATATATATATATATATATATATATATTAGAAGTTATTGCGTTCAATTGTGTATACTAAGTACAAATAATTACTACTCCCTCTGTTCCAGTTTATGTGAATCTATTTCCTTTTTAGTCCGTTCTAAAACGAATGAACCATTTCTAAATTTGGTAACAATTTAACTTAAAATTACAATTCTATCGTTAATTATAAGCTTTTATAACCACACAAATATTCTGTGTCCTTTTTCATTTATTTAGGACCACAAATTTTAAAAGTTTAATTTTTTCTTAAACTGCGTGCCCAGTCAAACGCGTTCGCCTATATTGGAAAGTACTTAGAAAAAAAAAAAAAAAGAAGCTAAAATACTCTACTTAATAAAAAGGAAACCAGGGGTTCTGTCAGAGACCGTTGAACTGAGAGGTTTGGAACGCAGAAGTGTTGAAGTTAGTATTCCGTTGAGCTATATAGAAAGTTCTTTCAGATAGCGTTGAGCGCTACTGGAGCTTGGTTTGCCGTCGCCGCTGAAAGCAAGTCGCGGCCATTGCCTTCTCAGTCCCCTCGCCGGCGACCGAAAGAGAAAAGGTAAAGCAAATAAATTCGATTTGATTACTTTTCGTTTTTCTAAAGTTACCTTGTTAATTGCTGAAAAAATTGGAATTTGGAAATAATTAAATCTGCTAGTGTATCGATTCAAAGGTAGTCAAGGTAAAATATTTAGGGAGTTGGTGAGTTCTTTATATCTCTCTCGAGAGTAAATTGAATGACTTTGAATTGTGATTTTTGAGCTTTACGTGTTATTTCTTCTTGTGAGTTGTTGAAATTAAGTTGGTTTAATTTGTAAGTTTTAGTTGAATGAGATTTATTTTTGAGTTGTGAATTCATTTTTGAGTTGTAATTTTAAGAAATTTATATGAGTTGTACATTGAAGGAAATTCATTTCGGAGTTGTGAACACATTTGTGGATTGACTAGAAAGAAATTCTGTTTGAAAGCATAACTAATAATGTGAACATCGATGATTTTCAAAACATGAAAACTCAAAGAATTATTATGTTTTAGAATGACTAATGACTGCAACAACAACAAGCCCGGTGAAATCCCACAAGTGGGGTCTGGGGAGGGTGAAGTGTACGCAGACCTTAATCCTGCCTAATGAAGGTAGAGAGGCTGTTTCCGAAAGACCCGCGACTCAAAAGAATGACTAGTGATTGCATCAAATAAAAAATGAGGAGTTACATTTCACGTTAAATATAATTTCGATTCAATTTGTAAATTACATATTTTTATTTGATACTGATTCAGATATCACAGCCAAGTCTCATTACAAATCTTAACTCATCACTTTAATTTATAGTTTGATATCTCATGAGAGTAAGAAAAACTTATAAATTTGACTATTTAATCTAAATGCTGTAGCTTGACTACTTTTGTTACGAGCAGTGAGTATTACTTTGTTTGTAATAACTACTTTATGGTCATATTATTAAAGGTCGTACCAGTTAAATGGTGCAAACTTCAGTCCTGTAAGGACTAAGAAGAACGAGGGTGAAGTGAGCTAGAAAGGATTGTCAATTGTGGTGCAATTTAGATATGTTTGCTCGGCATTCCTAGAAAACGACATAATAGATGAAGCCAACACAGAATTAAAAAACGATAATTGTAATGGAGAAGATCATTGGACTGAGATGAGCTTAAATGGAGTCACATGGATAGTAAGAATTCATATAATTGACCCCTACTTGTTTGAGTTTAAGGCGTAGTAGTAATAGTAGTTGTAGTTGAAATGGAGAAGAGACCTATCAATGTGAAAGGCAAGTTCTTTTCATTAAAAATAATGTAACAGGCAAGTCTATAGAAAAGGTTGTGAGACCAGCAATATTTTGCAGGAGTGAGTGCTGGGGCCTCTAAGTTCGACATAATTCAAGATGATTATCATAGATATGTGGATATCAAGATGGATGTGCAATTATATAAGATAGATTATAAATGAACAAATTCAACAGAGGGTGCAGCCAGGAGACATTGAAGAAAAAATGGGAGAGATTGCTTGAGGTATAGATGGACTATCTTTTTAAATTTCTAAATGCACCATTTCGTGTGACACTATGATGATAGGAGGTGCTAAAAGAAATCATTTTGGAATTAGTTAAGAATAGAAGACCACAGAGGAAACAAAGGATCTACATAGGTATACCAACTAGATAGAATAACGGATTAGTTGTTATCTACATAGGCCCCATGTTTGCTAGTAATATTTTTTTAATAACTGACAGATCCCACATAGCTAGTGGCACACGGTTCGGTACTGGATGGATGATGGGCTCGCCCCTCTACCGTCCTCCACTTAAATGCATTCTGCTCATGTTGAATGCACCATGTATTTGAATTCTTCTAGGAATTTGTTAGATTATAATTAAGGCTTCAAATTGGTGGGAGAAAAGAAACTAGAAATATTTTCTTTCTTGTAACTTGTAAGGAATTTGTTTTATCTTTATCATCTGGCAGTTGGAATCCTTCGAATCAAGTCCTCAAGTCGCAGGTTAGAATGCTTTTGTACTGTGTAGTCTGGAGTCACACGAGTCAAAGCTCATTCCGTCAAGTCACAGCTGGACCCAAACAATGTTTGCTACTCTTGGTACCCAGCGGTTCTTCAACAAGCTCCAGCCTTTTCTGTTCTCCTCTGTCAATAGCTGTTCTTGGTTTAGCAGAATTATTATTAACCATGTGCATTCCTTCGCGCAATCCAAACAGAGGAGATCTGTCCGACAAGGTAATCGACCTTTGAGCAAGTCTATCAGATCAATTCAGAAACAAGACGTAGATCTCCCTAATGTTTTCATGAGGGATACAATCACAAGATTATCACATATACTGAGATTTTCAAGTTGGGATTCTGCTCAAGAGCAGTTGATGGGGCTTTCCATAAAATGGGATTCCTACACAGTTAATCAAGTTCTCAAGACTCATCCCCCTATGGAGAAGGCCTGGTTGTTTTTCAATTGGGCCTCTAAGTTGAAAGGGTTTAAGCATGATCACTTTACCTACACGACTATGTTGGATATTTTTGGGGAAGCTGGGAGGATTTCATCCATGAATTATATATATAAGCAGATGCAAGACAAAGGAATCAAGATAGATGCAGTGACCTATACATCCCTTCTTCACTGGCTTTCCAACCATGGGGACATTGATGGGTCAATTAAATTGTGGCAGGAGATGAAAGATAAAGGATGTGTTCCTAATGTTGTTTCCTACACTGCATACATGAAAGTTTTATTTGATCACAATCGAGTTAAGGAAGGAGCCAAGATATACAAGGAGATGCTTCAATCTGGTTGTTCTCCCAACTGCCACACATACACTGTCCTCATGGAGCATCTTGCTGGTTCTGGTGAGAGCGATTTGCTTGTTCGTTTATTTTTGGGTAATTAAATTTTTTTTATTTACCAGTAATATTTATACATTGTTCTGTTTCTAGCCTGATCTGGATAACGGTCCCAGATTCAGCTACTCGTCTTTCCTTCCCTCTTACTAACCGCTATACCTACTATTTAAACATCTAATTGAACAGTAGGATAGTAGTATCCTTTAGTCTTCTCTGTAATCTCTGTTTGGAAGCCCCTCGACCATGTACAACTTGTGTTATTAATCTACTAAGTATTACTGCTGACCTTTGCTTTGTTTGGAATATTCTGCCATTTCCTTCTTTCCAAATATAGTACAAGCTGTCGGCAAGCGTCAACCTGTATACTTCAGCTTTTGAGCTCCTTCCCTTGTAGTGTCTCTCAGCCCATGCTACCTCGTTTGCCCATGGCATCACCTGTCTGTGTATCTCTTGCCATTCCAACATTGCTCGCCACCCTTGTGATGAGTATGAACAACTGAAGAAGAGATGATCTATGGTTTCTTCTTCTGTATTGCATAGTGGGCAAGTTGTGTCGTCCAAACAGCCCCATCCCCTCAATCTGTCCTTAGCTAGCAGTCTTCTATGAGCAGCCATGTATAAAGTAAAAATCCACTTAGGCAACCCATCATTATTGCAGACCAGTCTTCTCCATGAAACTTTAGCGAAGTCTCCTCTAAGCTGCATATACATGGCCTTTATGGAGAACTTGTGCATTCCTACTACATCCTCTTCTGCATATCCAGCTTTCTCAAAGTAGTTCTTAGCTTTCTGTATCTTTTGAACAATCCAAGAGGCTTGCTTTGGCTTAGCATCCCACAAAGAGTTATGTTTCTTGTAGTAAATGTGAATCCATTGAACCCACGTCTTGTCCTTTTTCTTGCATAGGTTCCACAGGAGTTTGTAAACAGCTATCCTATTCCATGTTCCTACATCAAGTAAGTTCAGTCCACCTGCTGCTCTAGGGTGGCACAGTTTGTCCCAAGCCAGTAGCGCTTTCTTTGATACCTCCACCCCTCTAGTCCATAGGAATCTTCGTCACACAGTCTCAATCAATTGAATCAGCTTCTTTGGCAACAGAAATACGTGCGATCAGAATACTTGAATAGGGAAGAGGACGCTTTTGATGAGTTGTATTCTCCCTGCATAACATAGAAACCTTGAAGTCCAAGACTGGATTCTCCCTAACATCTTCTCAGTGAGAGGCTGGCACTGAACTAATGATAGTCTTTTGGTACTTAGGGGCACTCCTAGATATCTAACTGGTAATGTCCCTTTATAAAAGCCTAAGACTTGCAATATCTCCTGTTGAATATAAGTACTTACTCCTCCAAAGAAAATAGAGCTTTTGTCAGCATTAGCAACTAGTCCTGAGGCCTTTGAGAGTTCCTGAAAGCATTTATACAACAGTTGCACAGATATGATATCACCCTTACAGAAGAGCAGTAAATCATCAGCAAAACTGAGTCGGACAATATTTATTTTGGCACACTTAGGATGATAGTTGAAGTTTAGATCTCTCCTGAGTGTCTTCAGAAGCCTAGTCAAGTACTCCATAGCCAACACAAATAGATAAGGAGACAAGGGGTCTCCCTATCTCAAACCTCTCTTAGCGTGGAATGGTGTTGTAGGTTGCCCATTAATGATGATGGAATATGAGATAGTTGTCACACACCTCATAATCCATTGCACAAACTTCCCTGGGAGGTGCAGGTTTGTCAACACCTGTTCCAGATAACCCCATTCAACAGAATCATAAGCCTTCTTCATGTCCACTTTCATCATGCATCTAGGGGATACACCTTTCCTGCCATACCCTTTCACTAGCTCATGGCTGAGAATTGTATTATCATTTATCAATCTACCAGGCACAAAGGGTGGCTGATTCCTATCCACCGGACCATCCATCACTCCTTGAAGTCTATTTGTTAGCACAAGGGTTGGCCTGGTGGCAATTGACTTGAGCCTTGGGATTTGCTCCCTTTCAAGGTCTCAAGTTCGAAACCCACTGGGTGCAAACAATTTCTGAGGGCCATCGGACTGGGTAAAAACCTGAATTAACCGTGGTGCACTTGCGGGAAACTCCTTGCCGAGGGCCTGTGCACCCCCGGGATTAGTCGGGGCTCTAAGAGACTCGGACACCCGGTGCAAATCAAAAAAAAAAAAAAAGATATAATTTTGTATAGTAATATACAACTTAATATTGGCCTATATTCAGTGACTCTGGAAGGGTTGCTCACCTTAGGTACAAGGGGTAACGGTTGCGCAGTTTATAGGCTGGTACACATTTGTACTTAGAGAAGAACTCCATCACAGCGTTTGTAACTGTATCTCCTATCACAGGCCAAGCTCTTAAAAAATAATGCATTGAAGCCATCACAACCAGGAGCTTTGGTGTCACTAATACCCGTCAAAGCATGGTAGATTTATCTCTAGAGGCATCTGCCACCATATGTAATTGTTGTTCTATATTCACCAACGGGCCACCCCTCATCACTATTGGGTTGATAGCAGGCAGTTTTGTAGCTGAAGAGCCTAGCAGCTGCCTATAGAACCCTATCACTTCCTCTTCAATTCCTTGCTTTGTTTGCACCAGATCCCTATTGACCTTAATTAATCTTCTAATCTTGTTTTGGGTGTATCTGCTCTTCATACTTGCAACGAAGTATGCTGTATTAGCATCTCCTAGCTTCAGCCACTGTACTCTTGTTATGCTCAGTGGGGAATGATCAGAGCAGGATGCATCCATTACCCATACTTCTAGGTGTGGCATAGTCAACATCCACTCAGCATTAACCAAAGCTCTATCAATCTTGTTGTAGGTGTGCCCGTTAGTCCATGTAAAGCTTCTCCCGCTGGTCTTCATTTCTACCAGCCCAGTATCAGCAATGAAATTGTTAAAGTCTCTAATCTCCATTTCTTGCACAGGGTTACTAATTGGTCTATCCTCTCCTGATCGAATAGCATTATAGTCACCATTATCAACCATGGGCCTTGTTGTACAGCCTGTAGGCTTGTCAGGTCACTCCATAAACTTCTCCTGTCATCCAAAGTGCAACCCATACACAGCTGTAAAGGTAATCCTCACATTCAATCTCTTAATGCTTACTGAAGCATGTATGAACTGGGATGATCTTCCCAAATCCATTTAGTCCACCTCATTTGTATCCCACAGTAGCAAATTCTTCCTCTACTACTATACTCATAGTTAGCTAACCAGGCCCATCCAGGAGCGATTTTCCTGATTACTTGAATGGCTTTCTACTCTTTTATATTGTGCTCTAATAGTGCAATCATATTAACTTTGTTACTTCTAATGAACAACTTGACCTCTTTTTGTCTAGGGGTCTTGTTTAGTCCCCTTATATTCCATGTGACCAGCTTCATACAGGTATAAAGAGGGATTGTGAAGGCCCATCCTGCCCTGTATTACTTCTCTGCCTACTTGTTCCTTCCTCCATTTGCCTTGGTACTGGTAGCTGTAGTCTAGATTCTGTTAGGATTTTAAAGCCATTGATCATGTTGACTGTATCAACTACTTGTGTCTCTCGGCTCTTGGCTGCTGATTTCCCTATAACTTTTTGCCATGCTTGGTTCTCATCTCCTTTGGTTGGTCTTGAATTTGGATTCACAAGACTGGTGCTGCCATTTTCTCCCGCACTAGGAATTGCCATCTCATGTTGACCATTGTCAGCTGTAGGGGCTTGAGCTTCCTGCACTTTTAGCACAGTTTTAGGCTGCCATTCCTGCTTCTGCTTCTGCTTCTGATTCTGATTCTTAGATTTAGGTTTTTGTCCTAGCTGGTCACCTGACTTGCACTTGTGACCTACTTGCAAACATTTGTGGCAGAATTCAAGTACTCAATCATACACTACCTCCTGCATGAACTCCCTCCCGTTAGGGTCAATCACCTTGATAGATTTAGGCAGTTCTTTTGTAACATCCCTCTCAACCAACACTCTAGCTTAGGAGATCCAATCTAGTTGAGTAGTACAAGTATCAGCATATAAAGGAATCCCCAAGCCACTACTGATCCTGCTTAATGACTTATTTCCCCAACAATTCAGAGGAAGGTTAGGGTACTTGACCCACACTGGGATGGTCTGTAGAACTTCTTTGTTGAAATCGAAATCAGCAGACCACACTTTCATAATAATAGGCTTATTGTTCAACATGTGAGGCGCTGAATACAGCACTTCATCTCTGTCATCATTGGAATTGAATCTTACCATAAAGTATCCATCATTGTGGAAGTACACTTTTGGTTTTGTTGCGAAGTTCCAAGCTGAAGCAATGAATCGTTCCATGGCTCCTATAGTTGGAGCTCCTCCAACAACATACAAGATTAGAGCTTGCTTCCACTTCTGAGTTACCTCCTCGACGTCTTCACCATTTTCGGGAATTGGTGCGATAAAACTCAAATCCATTCCCTTTGCTGCTGCAAGTCGATTTCCTATAAATAGATTTGCCCATTGCTTTTGACCTGTCTCGACATCAACAGTTGGCAATTTCCCTTGGGATTTGCTCGCCACCCCTTTATCCCCAATTGCACCCAATTCTCCACTAATCTCTATAAGATTCCTTTCAATGAATCGTTCCATGGCTCCTATAGTTGGAGCTCCTCCAACAACATACAAGATTAGAGCTTGCTTCCACTTCTGAGTTACCTCCTCGACGTCTTCACCATTTTCGGGAATTGGTGCGATAAAACTCAAATCCATTCCCTTTGCTGCTGCAAGTCGATTTCCTATAAATAGATTTGCCCATTGCTTTTGACCTGTCTCGACATCAACAGTTGGCAATTTCCCTTGAGATTTGCTCGCCACCCCTTTATCCCCAATTGCACCCAATTCTCCACTAATCTCTATAAGATTCCTTTCAATTGCCTCAGTTTTACTAGAGCTAGGGTTTACATTCTTCGTCGGAGCTCCAGAAGCTAATTTCTCACTACTAATTACCATAGCAGGAGGAGTTTTCATACCTTCCTTCGTGGCTGACAATGGCGGCCACTGTTCCATTGGTGTTTTCCCAGCATCTTTGATCGTAGTACTCTGTGTTCCCGGACTTTTGAGTGTTGCTGCTAGTCCCCGTGTAATCGACCAGCTGGATCGTGGTTGCATTTCTCTTTGGTCTGCCCCTCTCCATTGCTGGACAGCGTACATTAGCACATGCACTCTATCGTGCGCTGAGAGAGAAGAGAGAGGAAAAATATCTTTTCAGTGTTAGATTGATTTGCTTGTTCTTTTTTGTTATCTTTGGGGACTTTGAAGTAGCTCAAGTAGTGTACTTGAGGAAGAGCCAGTTCAAACCTCTTGCTTCCCCGACTGCTTAGACTCCCTCTATTTCAATTTATGTCTGTTTAATTGTCTGTTTAAAAAAGAATTCACTTTTAAATTTTAGTAAGCTTCAATTCCAACATTCCCTTTTTACCCTTGATGTTAGGCCACAAGATTCAAAGGATATCTTTGATATGTTATACACACCTTAAGTTTAAGACCACGAGATTCAAAAGTCTTCTATGTATTCTCAAAATTCGTGCCCTATCAAACTAAGATGCAAAATGAAGATGAGGAAAAATAGTTAACAAAGTTACGCAAGACACTTTTGGCGAAGACAACATTTATGTTTGGTTTTATCAAGCTTGTGTAGAATTAAGTATATCCAACCTTTCTATTAGTTGTGGAATGGTTGGTTTTCTATGTTCTGAAGTCTCTGAAGCCTATATACATGGACTGTCCATGGGTACATAAGTCTGACCCGAGCACGTCAACGTACAGGAAGGATCCACATAACATATTCTAACTACTCTAATATCTTCCTTGAGCTAGAGGGGGTGGGGAACTGGTCCCAGTTTGGACCTGTGGTGTGAAGTGTGAACAGATATGTTGGGCAATGTGTTGCAAGATGTTGCTGTTTGAGCAGTGTTGGTATGCAATCATTGACAAACTTTCTTTTCTCAGCTTCTCTAAGAAGAAATTATTTTGGTCTGTGTATTTCTTGAATATCTTTTTTCTACTTGGTCGGAGGATGGGAGCTTCTGTTAGGAGAGTCGTGCTTATGGTACCATTGTTTGAGAGTGCTAGACGTCTAAGAGAAGCGCTGATACCAGAATGTTTGAGAGTGCTAGACGTCTTAGTTGCAGCTGAAGAGGCTAAAATCCCTGTCAATACACAGTAGACTTGGAGATAATATAGAAATCCAATAAACATTTACACATGAAAGATATATATTCCAATTAGTTCAAGAATGTCTGATAATGAACAACGAGCTGATTGCATCATCAAAGCACCATCTGTTGAGAAAGTCACAAGACAACAGAATATGTTTCACAGACTGCTGAGTTTGCTTTTTTGTTGTTCGAATGTGCAATTAAGCGTTCCCTCTAGACTGTTTTTCATGTAAAGGAGTGCTAAGATTTTCTTGTCAAGCATTTTTTGACTTTCTAAAATATGCCCATTGCTTCTAAAAGACCTTCCTCAGTGCCTAGGAAGTAATGCAAACACCTAATTTATCCATGGTAAAAGAGTTGATTGGCTTCAAACTAGTAGGATATAACATATTGTCATGGCAGGGATGTTGGTCGACTGATATTTCTAATCTTAGTGTTTGATGATTTTAACTGATGGTGACAAATTTCTTTTCGCGTGTTTTTTTACTTTTCCTCTTATCTAAAGGAAGCTGATTGTAATTCCAACTTACCAAAAAAAGAAAAAAAGAAAAGAAAAGAAAAAAGAGAAGCTGATAATAATTCTAACAAGTCGCAAATTTTGATTTCAAATTGTGAACACATTCATCCGGTCATTGTGCAACTCAGCATTACCTACTATGTCAATCGTTGTGGTGGATGTGATTGTTTCACTTCCTAACATAAAATTTTGTTGTCTGCGCATAAGATTCCCTTATATCACACCATTTTATTTGGAAAAATAGTCTGGAAAATTTCCTTTTATGAGACTATGCATGAATTTAATTTTAAAGACCATATAATGTCAACATCCAAAACTGCAGTTTCCACAATTTTGACTCATTAGAATATTCGCCAAAAACTGAGTGACAGAAAGATAATAATTTCGAACTCCAAGTTGTCTTTGCTATATATAAAATAAGTGATTATGATCTTGAATTAGATTACTGTCACTTCGTATTCATGCTTTGATAGCTACATTGTGACTGCTTAGCTATTAAGAATCTTATTTGTACATGTACCGTAACTGGTTTTCAGGAAAATTTGATAGAGTTCTCGAGATTTTCAGTAAAATGCAAGATGCAGGGGTTCAACCAGATAAAGCTGCATGCAACATTTTAGTGGAAAAATGCTGCAAAGCTGGGGAAACGCAAGCAATGATGAAAATTCTTCACTACATGAAGGAGAAGTTTCTTGTTCTGCGTTATTCTGTCTATCAAGAGGCTCTTCTCACGTTGAAGATAGCTGGGGTGAGTGATCGGCTACTCAGGGATGTCAACCGTCATCTGTCCTTAGAAAAGTTCAACCATGATCAGATTGACAGATCAGATGGAACCACTGAAACTACTTGCCTCACTTTTGATGATAAGATGATTTTGTACTTGTTGAAGAAGCAAAGTCTTCTTGCTGTTGATTACTTACTAGATAGCTTGATGAGTAAGCGTCTCAAATTGGATTCTGGAATAGTGTCAACTATAGTTGAGGTAAACTGTAACCGTGGTAGAGTAAATGGTGCTTTTTTGGCCTTTGAGTTCAGTGTGAAATTGAGCATAACCATTGAAAGAATTATGTATCTCATGTTGGTTGGCGAACTTATTAGAACAAATTCACTTTCAAGGGTTGTGGACATTGTTGAAGCAGTGGTTGGGGCAGGACTATCATTAGGGTCAGAACTAACTGCTCTTCTGATACATCGGCTTGGCTGCACTAGAGAGCCCACTTCTGCGGAAAAGTTATTTAGCATCTTACCTGATCAGCAGAAGAGTACTGCTGTATATACTGCTTTAATAAACACCTACTTCACTTGTGGGAATGCTGAGAAAGGACTTGAAATATTTGAGACCATGAGAAAGCAAGGGATAAATATGGCATTAAGTACTTACTGTGTCCTATTGAATGGTCTTGAAAGAAATGGCTTATTTGATAAAGTACAATCTTATAGGAAAGAAAAGAAGAAATTTAAATCTGAAAGCTGCACTACAGACATGTCTAAGGAAGAAACAGTGTGCGATCTTCTTTTTGCTGGAAACTTAGTCGTTTGAGACACAGGTCTCCAGACACTTTCTTTGAATGATTGGAGTATCTGGTGTACAAAAATAGCCGTTCTTTATAACTTGAGTTGTTCTGGATTTGCATAAGTTAGCAAACACAAAGAAGTGTAAGCTTTTGCTGTCTATGGTATGGCCTAAATTGTTTACAGAAGTGAGGTATGCCCAAGAGAGTATGCAGGAGAATTATTGCAGCTTATAGAAGCCCACATGCTGAAATAAGATTTTGGACTGGATAATCTCTTGCGAATCAAACTTAAATGACCTCTCGTCTTTGAAAAGTTTAACTTATCTTTAGAAGCTGGAGTAGAAGGATTGATTGTGTCAAATCATGCGGCTTGAGAGCTTGATTATTCTCCTGCGACATTATGGCCTTAAACAGGTTCCC